CAAATATATATATATATATATATATATATATATATATATATATATATATATATATATATATATATATATATATATATATATATATATCAGTAAAGAAGCCAGACTTTATGTGGGGATACCGTTTTTTTTTTCCTGCAACGTTGTGGGAAGGGGGTGTTTTTGAGCCCCCCTCACCTTCCTTCTCCCCTAGTTAAATGCGTGCTGCAAAAATAATTTACTGGAGGACGATGTTACTTTAGATACAATAAGAAAGCTATTTTACTTAAGACTTTAATTAACGCTTTTGTTGCAAATACCACCCTATCAGTAAATAATTTTTGAAAATTGTTTAAAGTATTTTAAACGTTTATTAACTATATTTTTGTAAATTTAATTTTAGAGTTTAAATGATAAAATACCTTAAACCATTTTTAATCAATATTTACATTAAATAATATATTAAATTTAAAATATAAATTTAAGATTTAATATACATATATTAAATCGCGTAATATTTGTAAAATTAACAAAATAATTTTAGGTCTTGCATTTAAATTAAAAACAAAAACATTTAATAAACAAATTCGTTAAGCATTTTATAAACTATTCAAAAAAAAAAAAACATAAGCATTTAATAAACATATTTACTAATTATTTAATTTTAAAATTTTGATTTAAATATTAGCAAACCTATTCATTTAACTTTTACTAAAGGTTAATAATTTTTAAAGTGATTTTTAGGCGCCTTTTAAATTAAAGATTTTAAATTAAAAGAGATAATTACAGTAAATAAAATTTTAAAAATGAAATGTTATTTTATACCTTGTTGCCACTGACATAAGTAAGAAAAAAGTAGAACTAGAAACCAAAATAAAAAATTATTATTTAAAAACTTTGGCATATGAAATTCACCGAATGGTCACACACGAGCAATGAACGCCTGAGGGAAGAAATGAAGTACATTAGAATAAAGGAGAATTATTTATTAGACAAAGCATATTTTGACAGTTGTCAAGACAAAAATAAAGATTAATTAGAGGAATATTTAAAAATAAATAAGACAGGCTATACACCCACAACAATAATAACAATAAAAAAAAAAAAAAAAAAAAAAAATTAATAAATAAAAAAAAAAAAAGTAAAATAAAATTTTAAAAAAAATTGTTTTATTAACACCAATATGAACGAAGATATACATCACCAGACAAAAACTTATAAAACAAAAAACCGATCCCAAAATAAAAAATATGATAACAACAATGAAAGGCATTTAATAATGGAAAAAAAACATTAATGCTAATGTGTAAACACAATTTGTGTAGTGATTAAGTAATAAATATCTCCTCAGAGTCGCGTCTATTATTGCTGGCGTTTCGATGAGGATCAGCATTTATAACTAGTTTATCCCGTCAGACAAACGTCATCGCCACTTATGCTTTACCCCGCGACTTTAATAGTTTTTTTTGAATTAAAAGCGTATTATATTTTAAAAAACATATATTTAAAAAAATATATTTTTTATACAATGAAGTATAATTTAAAAAAATTACGTTTATTAAATAAAATACATTTACTGTTTTATTTTAAACAGATTTTAATAAAACTTTTATTAAGTTAATCTTTATTTTTACTATTTTAAAGAGTATTAAAAAAAAAAAAAAAAACTTTCAGAAAAAGTTTACGCTTCGTTTTTTCGTTTTCCTCACGTAAATTAAAATAGCAAGCAAGATCAAATGTTCAATCATTCAAAAATTAAATTCGCGCAATAGTTATATCACTTAGTAACCAAAGGTAGATTACGTTATGTAGTTATGTGAATAAGTTTTTACATTTTCTTTTTAATTCATTTTGTTGTCTTAAAGAAAAAATAAATTAGCTAAAATAAACTGAAAATTATTTATATAATACCGCATTAAAAACTGGAATTTTTTTTCTATTTTTCATAAAAAAGCAAAAGAAAAATTTTAAAATAAAAATAATTTTTGGGCGCTTTTTTTTGGGCGCCCATACCGGTCCAACGGTACTAAAACACGTCTGGGTTCTTCACTGCTTATATATATATACATATATATATATATATATATATATATATATATATATATATATATATATATATATATATATATATATATATATATATATGTATATATATATATATATATATATACACACACACACACATATATATATATATATATATATATATATATATATATATATATATATGTATATATATATATATATATACACACACACACATATATATATATATATATATATATATATATATATATATATATATATATAAATATATATATATATGTATATATATATATATATATATATATATATATATATATATATATATATATATATATATATATATATATATATATATATATATATGTATATATATATATATAGTTAGTTAGTTAGTGGTAAACTGCGTGGATCTTATCCACGCAGTTTACCACTAACGCACAAGCTGAGACGTTGTAACGTTCAGCTATAGCAGCCCAGTACTTTTTTTTTTTTCCTTTTCTTTTAAATTAATATTTTCTTATTTTTCTTAAGCCATTCGTCTAAACTTGCTTTAAAACTATTCAAATTCTCGAAATCTACAACTTTTTCCGGAAGTTTGTTCCAAATTTGGCAAACTCTGTTTGTGAAGAAATGGATTCTGGAGCTAACCAATGCATGAAAGTCATTTATTTCGCAAGGAGTAAAACACTGCATTCTAATTTTATGTTTGAGACCTCTAATGGAAAAACATGGGCCATCTAATTTAATGCTTGACTTATAGACTGGTTTGACATTAAGATTGACAAATTCTAGATTGTTTAATATCTTATATAAATGAATAAGGTCTCCTTTTTTTCTCCTGAGATTTAAACTAATTAAATCCATTTTAACTAGCCGTTTCTCATAACTTAGCATTCGGTTTGAGTATGGTAATTTTGTGGCCCTACATTGAACTTTTCAAGCATTGAGATTTCGGCCACATTCAGAGGACTCCACGCTGGAGCCGCAAATTCAAGATGAGGTTGCACATAAGTAGTATACAAAATTTTCCACATATAACAAAAGCATTTTTCAATAGCCCCAGTATTTTTGAAGCTTTATTAACACATACTTGCGTTTGATGCTTCCACCTCATATCCGGTTGTACAAAGACACCTAGATCTCTTTCTAATACACTGTTTGAGAGGTCATAAATCATTCCATTTATATTCATTGTGTATATATATATATATATATATATATATATATATATATATATATATATATATATATATATATATATATATATATATATATATATATATGTATATATATCTTTAGGTTCCCTAAGAAAGGAAAGAGGGTCAAAGAGGACCAAAGTTCCTTAAAGTATTTTTTTTTTCCTGTTCAATTTTTTAATTTCTTTTTTACAACTAATATAAAAGAACCGCTAGAACTGAAAAAAGTTTCTATAGTTTATCAAAATCAGTTGTTCTAAGTAAAGGTTATACCCTTTACTTTTACACGCAATTTGTTAGTTAATATTGTAATATACTATCTAACTATTAACTAACAATTAAAAATTAAATAGCAATTTAAATAAATGTATTATATAAATAACATGAAAAAAAAGTTGTAACAATAAATAACATAAAAAAAATCCTTACTTGTAACAATTAAAAAATAATAACATAACTTTAATACAGTTCAAGACAATGCAAATAAAGCTGAAACAATGTTGATAACATCAAATTATAGAATGCAATACTCAGTCTTAGGATTAAAAGCTGTCATTATATGCCAACTCTCTTATCTCAATCAGATAAATCTGTCTCTCGATTTTTGGCCGCACATGGCTGGCAATGCCTTAGAGGGTATTTTAGTACAACTTTCAACAACTTGAATGTGACACATCTTGGATAATCAACAACAGATGATTTGCCAATATTAACCATATCTTTAATAAATGCATCGTAAAGGTCAACCATCAATTAAGGTTGGTGATTTTAGTGTTTTGCTAATCAATGAGGTCAATATAATCAGAATTCATTTTAGTTCAGGAACAATGAATTATCTAATTCTGTAAATTTCCTGTGCCCTTGCTTTTAAAATTTTATGCAATCCAAAATCATGAACAAGTTTGGCCTTAACCATAATCATTGCAAACAGAATGTTTTCATGATGAGCATAGTAGCCATTTCATTTTAGAACAGAAGTGATAATATCTTTATTTCAGCTTTTAGCTCAGCAGACAGATAACATAACAGAATAATTAATCTCCATAGGTGACTTGCCCTTGTATAAATTTAAGTAGACAAAGTTTTTAGCTGTTTTGATGGCTCTAAGGTTGATACATACAAACAGAGTACATGATTTGCCAGTAATTGTCATCTTGAATGATTTATCAGACCTTGTTATGAGATTTTGTTGCATAACAGAAAAGCCTAACACAAATAAATGTAATTTTACTCAATAAAAATTTTTACATCACTTAAAGTTTAATTGTGTCAGTTGCGTATTTTAAAATACCTCATTGTAATTAAATTTAAAACCACATTAAAAATTGTAGTATGTCTTTATTTTTATGAAATATCTTTAAATTAAACAATATTATTATAAAAAAATTATAAATAAAATTTAGTTATTGTTTAAAAATAATTTAAAATCCTATATTTATTTAATAATAAAACTTTTAATGATGTTCTTGAAGGAAACCTTTTTACTTTTATTAATTTTTAAATTGTCTTTATATAATAAATTTTTACCTATATTTTATGATATAAACTTGTTCAATAAAAATGTTTGTTATCCTAATGAAATAAAAGATTATTTTGTCTTTTTAATTAATATTAATGTTTTTCTATTTACTGATTGTTTTTTTGTTTTTTTTTGATCCACCAAACCATAATGGTTTTTGAATTCACGCATATTTAGTTACATAAAACTATCTATTATTTTTGTATAAATATGTATAATCACTTTATTTATTTTTATGTTGTTTTAATTTTTATTTTTTTTAGTGGCAAAAACGTTATTTTAAACTATGGTCAGACAAAACACTTGAGTATTATAAAAGTATTAACAAAAACAAACCATTAAAAGAACCAATCGACTTAAAAACTTGCACTAAAGTGCTGGATAGTTTTCAAGAGTATGAAAAATATGTTAGCAGGAACTATAAATGGCCTTTCTGTTTAGAAACACCAAATCGTCACTATTATTTTTTGGCACGATCAGAAGAGGATCGTGTTAAATGGGTTGATGTCTTAAAAAAATTATGTGATTCAGGTGTGAAGTTTATTTTTTTTTTCATGTATGTTACTTTAGGAAAAGGAAAAAAAAAATCATAATGTTCATCAAAATCTTTTAAATTTTTTAAATTTATTTTAGGAACATTTTGATAGATATATATTTATCAATCAATTTATAATAAAATTATTGTTATGTGATCAAAACAAAGAAGACAGTTTCTGCTTCGATCATCTTCTTTGGTTTAAAAAAAAAACATTTAAAAATTGATAATAATAAAAAAACTCATAAAACTAAAGTTTTTTTATTTTTATTTTAAAAAAAGTCATATTTTATGCAAAAAAAAATCTAAAATATTAATTTATTTATAAAATGATTCATATTTTTGAAATTTCTATATAATTTTGTTTTATTTGAGACACAACATGAAATTTTTTGTTTTTTTGATTTTAAATCCTTGAGTATTTATAGGTGCCCCTATAAATATTCAAGGGTCTTGGGTCACCCAATAAAATATTTTTTTATTTAAAAAATTTTTAAATCTAGTGTTATTTTATTATAAAGGGTAATTTCATGTCAATGACCCAGAAATTTTTAAAAATGTTACCCTACATCTCAGTTTTTGATAATTTTTATACAATTGAGAGTACCTAGTAAAATAAGAATTCCTTCAAAATTTTAGCCTAAGGTTCCAAGAAGATCCTGAAATATGATCATTTTACTTTTATTAGATGTTGGCCAGGCCCCTCCTGTCCCCTCAGAATTGCAACATTTATTTAGAGGTTTCAAGTTACATAACTAAAAAATAGTTACATAAATAAAAAGTATTTGATATTTTTACTTAAAAATTTGTACCTGGCTATTTTTAGAGGTAGCAAATCCAATAAAATGATCAGAAATGTAATATATATATATATATATATATATATATATATATATATATATATATATATATATATATATATATATATATATATATATATATATATATATATATATATAAATGTGTGTGTAATTTAGATATTTTTGACGAAAAAACTGCACACATTACAGTTTATAAGGGAGTTCAGGTTATCACAGTTTAGTTCAAGTATATGTGATTGTTTGTGAGTGGAGGGATGAGGTTAAGAACTGACAAATATAGGGTCACATGCTTTATAGATGACTCCCCTTAATTGCATTTACAAACGATTTGTTTTACTAAAACAAAAATATTAAGCAAATCATTGTTTGAAAAGTCGTTTGACAAGGTTCTAACAGATTTTTTTTATATTAAGAGAATAGTAAATAAATCTTTTTTTTTTTTTAATGTCTAAATTAAAATATTTATATAATTCTTATTTTTATTTATGTATACTTATACGTCAACCAAAAAAAGAATGCAAAAACAAATAAAAAAAGCAATAATATAAATAATTTTAATTAAACATTAGAAAAAAAAGTTTTTTTTCCAAATTCTCCTAATATAAAAAGTTTCAGTTGGAACCTTCTCAAACCAACGCAACATATTTTTGTTTACAAAAGTTTTTTTTGTTTACAAAAAGAGTTGTTGTTTACAAAATGAATTACAATGACGTAATTCATTTTGTAAACAACAAAAATTTAATGAAAAATTACCAGCACTAGTTAATGCATGTAGTTTTAACATACGTCACACAAACTTAAAATAAAAATGTGCTTTAACTAAGCATCGCTATTCAAAACGTTAAATGTAAAAATGTAACATTTAATATTCTTTCTCAAATATTATTTAAAAATTGAGTTTTGTAACTATATTTTAGGGAAAAAAAAACTTTATTATGTTTTTGTTAACATATGTTACATAAAAATCGGAAAAGTTTTTTTGTTATTTCTCATTTATTATATTTTATAAAGTATATAATCTGACCAACAATAGTTTGAACATGTTAGCTCCATTTTCATTCAAAAAAAATTATTTTCGACACCCTTACGTCTCAGAATTTGTTTATTTTTACACCACTTGCAGTCAATATCAAAAAAATAATAACTGCAAAAATTTTAGTTGAAAATACCAATGGGTTCCAGAGATATCGTCAGTTGAAATAATGCTGACTCAGCATTTTAGTGATTTTCTGAAGCGACTACAAAGCAACTTTGACATACAGTATCTTCATAATGGCTTGGGGAAATTTCCTAAAATTTGATACTCTAATAGATTTTAACTTAAGGAATCCAAAAATAGCACTCTTAAGACTCGATTATCTCAAGAAATGCCTCATTTATCCAATTTTGTTCAAAATTATTGACTTGTAAGTTAGTGATTTTTGGAAAATAAAGACTGTGGCCCAAAATCCTGAGTAAAAATTTTAATTGTATATCATTATTTCATCTTAGGTCTACTGAAAAAAATTAGATTCATCAATTGTCTCTCTAATACATGATCAAAATTTGCATTTAAAAATGGTGTCTTTTTAGAAAAATTTAAATTTTGTAACAAAAGCAATTAAAATATTTTTTTAAACATTTATTTGAATAAAACACCAAATAGTGTTATTTATTGACTAGTTTAAATTTAAATAAATATTTAAAGTCATGGGCCAAGGGAGATGCCCTCCCTACCCATGGGAGGCCCCTCTGCCCCCTCCCTAAATCTCCCTAGATTTTTTTTTTTTTTTTTTTTTTCACATAAAATGAATAAATAATAGTTGATTGTTAAAATACATTTTAAAAACATATTTTTTCAGTTTAAGTTTGAGAAACGATTTATTTGCGTTACTTCAAATCGATAAATACTTACCTCTTATTTCAAAGATCTTTTTACGATTTTAAGTCATAAATTTCAAAAATAAATGTTTTAAAATGTTTTTAAAACATATTGACAATAAATATCTTTATGTAGTTTTAGACTAATATAGTTATTGACATAATAAGATAGGAGTGATTTGTGATTTATTTAAACCCCCACCCCTCCTTCTCAGCCTACAATCCAAGGATTTGAAAAATATAAAAGACATTTAAAATGCAAATTAGGTAAATAAAATAAAAACAAAATTATTTTAAGCATAATTAATTTTTTTTTGTAACCAACAGTTTATATTCTCCAAATCTAAATCAGTTATGTTGTATGTACGACCTGATATTGTTGTGGATGTAGAAATTAGGCATATAACTTCAGAATTGAGCACCCAACACTCATCAGTTCTTATTGGCCAAAAGAAGTTTTTACCTGGTCCATGTGGATGCATGAATCTGACTTTTATATCAAACTCACTTACATCTTCAGCAATCCCTACCCACCAAAATCCATCATAAAAACATGCAATATAATCCATTTTTTTAATATTTAATGAAATATCTACATAATGTTTGCTTTTTGGAATGATATCAAATATTTCAGTGCATGCATCAATACTTATTTTTTTATAACTTATAGTGTTTGGAGCAATTGGAATAAAATGATGATACATCCTTGTGCCAGGAACTGTTCTTCCACCTAAATATCTTTTTTCTAATTGTGCTCGTGTTTGATCAATTTCTTCTTTTGAAAATAACTTAAAATAAATTCCATTTATCTTGGCTTTACAAAAGGAGTACGTTAAATTAACATCTAAAATCTGCCCAGTAGTTATTTGTTTGAGACTTTCTTGACATACTACTCTTTTAACAGTCCCACCAATACCATCACAGGGGGATTTACCATGACTGGTAACAAAAAATACCCATTCAGCATTTAAATCAAAGTCTTTACTGTGATGACAAAGATTGATAAAATTTTTAAAATTTTTAAATTGTGCTGCACAACCATCAGAAAATTATTTCACACTTGATATATCAGGTAGATTTTCTTTGATATATCTAGTTATATCTTCCTGAGTCTTGTAAATAAATCCTGTGTCATGATCAACATCTTCTGAAAGGTAACAAAAAGATTTATGTTTGAGAAGTTTGTTCTCTATAAAATAAAGTACAACTGTATAAAGTGAGCATTGACTTTTGCTCCAGTGATAACTTTGAACCTCATCCTGAACAACATATTGATAGTTTTCAGCAAAATCTCCTAAAATTAAGCATTCGTTTTAGTTAAGATTTTCTTTACAGTTTTTCAAGTATCTACTTTGTGTTTTTGCAATATATGAATGAGTGGTAAGGTTGTCAATACTGTCACATAATAAATCAATAAATTCATTTAGTGGCAATGACTGTGAAAGTAGTGTTGTACGATCTGTACTCTGCCATTGCTTAAATACTACATCTTCTTCATGCTCATGGTCCATAAACTCCTGCACTAAAAAACTTTTTAACGCTTCAATACCAGGACATTGGTTACATCGATGCAACATACATTCTGCATTTTCAAGAGAGCAAACAATCAATGCCATGAAATCTTTATAACTTTTATTCCACCTAATGGCATCAATGAGAAATTTTGGTTTTTCTTAATACTTACATAATCTTTTTTTCCTGGCATCATTCTTGAAAATTCATCATATTGATAAAAGTTAATCACTAAATTAACTGTTTCTGGTGAAAGTGGGTTTCCAGTTTTTTTCCCGGGTAATGATAGAATTCCATTCTCATTTTTAACTTTTCTTGCTGTTCGAACAAGATACTCAGACACTTCAAAGTAGCTTGATATCTTTTTACGTGTCCATGATTTTGGTGCGAATGTTAACATTTGCACCTTATGGCGATAAGAGTCAGTCTCTAAAATTTTATGTTTTATTTCATACATTAAAATGTCTAGATCATGGTCATTGTTAATGTTGTTGTTTAAAATGGGGCTTTTTATTTCTGTTGTTAAAAAAGTTTCTTTAATATTATATGCTAATGAGACCATTTTTGCAACTCTGTCAATAGTGTTCTCAAACTTTTGTTTTGCTACAGGCAATTTGCTGTGTTTTGAAAGACTTTTTAGTTTGACCGGTGAGATTCCAAGCAATTCTATAGTGGTGTCTAACTTAATTTTTTTCTCACTTTTTGATTCCCATTCCTCCTGTGAATTTAAATCTTCATCAGTTTCTATTGCTTTTTTGTAACATTTACTGCAGAATTTCCAACCTGGGGTTACATAAACATTT